GAGCGTCTCCACTACCATGGAATTTAACTACGGAAACTTGTGAAACAATTTCCTCTATATAAATTGGCACGCTATGATAAAGAACGCCAAAAATGATCCTTGATTCTTCATATACAGGAACTAACTTATTAGATTGTCACAAGATAATAGATCCAATCTAATTCACACTATATTAGGAAAATCAGATTGGGTTATGTTTTTGAAGCTTATTCTAGTTACTGTCTATGGACAAGTGGATATTGGCTGGACCAATATTACCTACACGTATGTAAAACTTGTTTAATCTAATTAAAGAAATACATAAACTTTAACATAAACGTTATTTGCCTGCTCTGACCATTTCTCACGAGGTTCCACGCTTGCACATTGGGAAACATTATTTTGAACGTATTACCAAAAAGTATAATTGGTTGTCACAGCTGCTTTTAAAAGCGTAGCTAGTGTTTGAACTAAGAAGACCAGGAATCTTGCAGAGATTTGCCTTACATGATAGGTCTAGAAATAACATCCGAATCGATTTGATGACTCTGATGTAGACGCGATATTGAGTTTTAAAAAAAAACATCACAGCAAACAAATTACAAAAAATATATAAAAAGCGTTCATCCGTCCTCCAGTTTCTCTCTATCTATTGTACTAACATTTATATATATATTTTTTTTCAAACATGTATGTAGTACTAACATTTATATATATATATATTTTTTTCAAACATGTATGTAATTAGATTTAATAAATGAATATTTATAAAAAGATTGTTTTATTGATTTCGTTAGATTTTTCTAGTAAGAAGAGTTCACAACAACAACAACAACAAGATGTCCTGATAGCTTGAGTCGTCAGAGGTGTGCAACATCAGAAGCAATGTTAGTGCGTGGTTGGAGTTCAAAACTTAGCGTGTTCAAAAACAAAAAAAAAAACACGCACACACATAATACTAACATTACTTCTGATGTTGTGGCGCGGTTCTTCGGGCTATCAAGACATCTTTTTGGTATTTTTGAACAAAGTGTGCACGTCACGTGCGTCACGTATCACGTCACGTGCGTCACGTATCACGTCACGTGCGTCACGTATCACGTCACGTGCGTCACGTGTCACGTCACGTGCGTCACGTGTCACGTCACGTACGTCACGTGTCACGTCACGTCACGTGTCACGTTACGTGACGTATATCATAATGAAACGACAGATATGCATTTTTACAAAAACTTTATTAAAATCGTTCAAGATCATTAGCGATCCTATGTCTATAGAAAAATATATGTTGTCCTAACGCTATATGTTGTAAAGTACAGCCTACGAGCTTAAATGTATACAATTTTTGAATAGCATCTGAAAACGTATAATTTTGATCATTAAAACTAGCTCGAACAATCTTAAGCGCATTATAATAATAGCTTGGAAATTCAACAGTTTCTAGCATAGACATATACGGTACTAAAAGTTCATTATTTGCTTCTAAAAGAGCGTTCACGTCCATTTCTGAGAGGTAGAAACTAATGTTGTGCTTGGTTATTTCGAGAATTTTCGTACTATCATAGATTAGTCGTCGAATTCTGCAATAGTCACCGCACTCGATTTCGACAGGATCATACTTGTCAGGAAGGTTCTTCTCCTCCTCCTGCTCCTCCGTCTCCTTCACCGTTACCACATTGAGCTGGGTGATTAATTGTTCCCACTCATAGGAACTGAAAGATAGTTTCAACCGTGATGAGTTCCACACAATTACAGCAGGAGTAAATGATCTCGCTGGGCTTAGACCGCATCCAATTTGGTATGATCCATTTGGAAACTGCGTGTACAGCAGATAATGGTCCTCGTTCTTGGCCGCTTCTTCGTACCTTTCCAGAATAGCATCCAGCTCACGGTCGTAGTTTACAGATGATTCGTGTGAGCTGCTGGTGGTGAGGTCAAACTCGCTGCAACTTGAACCACTACCACTGGTATCCATTTTTTTTTTTACTAGCTGCCTGACTGACTGACTGACTGACTGCAACCGACTGAGAACTCACTTTTAGCAGAAACCCCCCCACCCCATACACCTAGACGATCGCATCATTGTCAATCCAACTATTATGTTTTGCATCAAGGCCAAGCCA